TCAAGGCATTTTCCAGCAGAAAATGAACCAATAACTCTATCTAATCCAAAATTCGTCCTTGTTGCGAACATTTACATTTAAATACCTGTGATTTTTAATTTACATTTGTTACTCAATTGTTAAACTGAATCGCATCCCTTGGTATTAGAGGTTATTGAACTTCGACACTACAGTTTCCCTGATTGTGTTTGCGTATTTGACTACCATATTGCAAATTGTCATTTGGCGATTTTGGAACAGCAAACCCACGAAATTCTAGCAATCTTCTTAGTTCTGCTGACGTGATAAATACGCTAAAAGGTAGTCCGTCAAGGGTAGGCAATCTAAAAAATACCGCAGGCAACGAATTTTCGCGTTGATTTTGTAAGAAATCGGTGATCAGAGATTTGGATTTTTGTAGATGTGGATGACTTCATGTGGATGTTTTACAAAATTCTAGTTAGGCAGAGCAGGTAATAGTCTTTTGGATTTGCTCAAATAGGAAACTTTGCATGGCGAGGTTCGGATTTCGAATCATCAATAAACTTCAGTCACGAAGTTTAACGATGATTACTAATCGTTTAACGAATAATACTATTCGTTAAACGAAATATTCCCTTAAGACATTGCTAACAATTTGTATAATTCTTTCTACACATAATTAATGATTAAAACTAAATAATTTCATTCGGGTATTATATCTGCACAAAGAGAAAGCACGTAAAATCCGTATCGCTAAAAGTAATTCTCGCTTAAAACGAGATCAAATTAAAAGATAGGAGATAGAGATTTTTTTTTTTTGTTGCAATATATTAATAGTTGCTTCTATAGCAACTTTTCTATTGCGATCGCTCCTGTCAATAACTAGTTCTTTTGTTTGTTTCCTTTCAACTTCTGTTTGATCTGGATTAATGTATACTTTTTGAAAATTATTCAATGTTCTAAGCTTTTGTAGCACCTTTCAAAATTTCTATTTTGTTTGCATTGTTGGTTAATTCTACTAATTGTTGCTTAACGCATCGTTCTTGGGTTTAATATAATCAATTTTTTTGATTATATTTTTATCTAGGCTTATTTCACTAAATACATTATTAATAAATTCGGAGTCCAGAAAAACTGAAAAAAGATTCATACTCAAAACCATAAATTCTTTATGGTTTTGAGTATGAATCTTCTTTTAGTTTGGCAGTCCAGCAACAAAAACATTATTTTCTATTTTTCTATTTTTACCAAGCGTACCTAGTTAAATGCTATGTTGGAACCGTACTGGAACAGAATGTTCTAAAGTTTGGCTTAATAGGTTTAATTATAACTAGTTTGGTAGTAAGAGGAAGCATTGGTACTGGTTGTTAGAAGAGCTGGAATTATAAGCAGAGAAGCCACAGGAGTCCTTTAACAAGGTTTTCAAGAAAAACATAGAGCATTACACAAAAAATTTTCTAGCTTCAAGAAATTTTGTACCTTCAATCCTAAGATCAACAGAATGAGGGAAGTCAGGAAAAGTTCAAAGGCTCCAATCTACCTGA